CGTATCCAAGGTAATAGTAAACATTTAAATATACGCTTAAACAAAATAACGTGAAAATAATATGATCTAAAAAAAAAAAAAAAAAAATTATATCTAAATATATATTCAACTGATAAAGTGACACGAAACATATATGTAAGCGTACGTGATATGGATGATAAAGTATGAGAAATGATAAGTTAAAGTTATAAATTTGTTTAAGATTACAATTATTTAATTCTTATCTTTAAATCATTACAATAAAATGATTACACTTTCACTTTTTCATTTCCAATTTAAATTTCCTTACTTTTAACTTCTTCTTAGGGAATAAATTTAGAGCAAAAAAAAAGAAGAGAAAGAAATAGCAGTAAATGAAGATTTACCTATTTTGAATGTAATAAAATCAGGAACTTTCATGTATATATGTTAATTGATAATTAAAATTTATTACTAATCAATACTTTATTATTGCTCCAGATTTATTGTTAAACAAAATTTAGTATTAATCAAGATTTAATAATAAGGATTAATCAAAATGTTAGTAATTAGGTTAATAATTTCATTGAAATAGTCGTATTATTTACTGCATAATTTACAAATTTTACGTTTACAAACTACGTAAAGTAAGCAAGATTACATTTTGTTTTTTAAAAAATCACTTTTTTTTTTGTTTTGAAGAATGACTTCGATTTTCTTTCTTTTAAATTACATTTTGATTTTTAAAACATTTTTTGGGGCCGCATTTTGTACTTTATTTTGGCGGCTTTTTCACATAAAATTTTGTTCTCAGTTGAAAAAAGGATGCCATATTTCATGTATTTCATCCCATTCATTCCATTCCTCTTCGATCCACACATAGGATTTCATTCCATTCATTCCCTTCCTCTTTGATCACCGCACAAGATTTGCTCTTCCCTTTATTGTAGCAAGAAACGGTAGTCTTGGTCGCTGGCTTCAAATTCATAAGATGAATAGATTTCAATGAAATTCAAATATTTCGATTTAAAAATTTCAATAAAACTTCACAACAATACTATTACACGAACTACTTCTCTCTATCCCTTTTCAAACCTCTCCTCCCTAAAAAAAAAAACGAAATTAATTGCGTATGCATCACTGCAGAACTTCCTACTGTAACAGCATACGATAGGCATACAGTACGACTGATTGTTAATCATTTTTTAGCTTGTTACTATCAATCCTTCATAGTATTTTCATTCTAACGATCATTCTTGAATTCAATATATCACAAAAACAAATGAAGAAGACTATTATTAGATTGCCAAAGCAATAGAAATGATTGATTGATTGAAGAAGTGTACTAATAATTGTAATCTTTTGCATGACATGCAAATTGTATGTCATGCAAAAGGTTTGCAAAACAAGACAGATGTGTAATTATTATAAAAAGCATGAAGTGCATTCTAATGGTCATTTGCTTTTCTATTAATCGTGACAGAAAGCTTAGCTTAAAGTACTATTATTCTTCCAATTCTTCATACCAAATTATTTATTTTCTTGAAAGGATGAAACAAATAAATCAAATAGGAATTTTTGTAACTTTAAACTTAAATTTGGAATTAAATTAAATTAAATTAGCATTAAATTAAATTAGCAAATCAGAATTTTAAATTCGATTAATTAATTTCTTATATTTGCTCAAATTTGCTCTTCCTATAATACATTACGGAAAAAATGAAGTATAATTGTTTCGATATATGAAGGAAAATATACTTCCATTTTTTGCAAAATTTAGAATTCAAATTTAAATATTCGAATTTTAGGTTTTGAATTTGAATTTGAATTCGATTACTTCCTAATTTGTCAGTTCACGAAGTTCATACTATTCAAGTGAACGTGCATAGTAATCAATAATTATTTATACTTTTCAAAATTTTGAAAAATTCTCAAATTGTTTCCATCGTCTTTAGCATATTGTTCTCTCCCTCTCTCTCTCTCTCTCTCTCTCTTCTTCTCTCTCTCTT